GTATCTAGTTGTCTGACAGCAAGAACTTGTGACATGTTATGGCTTAGCATGTGCAGTTCCACATGAAGCATTGCCTCTCTGACAGTTTAAAACATGGCAGTGCTGTAAAACTTTTGAAGTCATGTCTGGCAACTTTGAGGTAGTGTCTACATCTGCATAAATTGTGCACATAAATTTATAAGTTGTAGTTACTACTAGCCTCTTTGCTGTAGACATACACAGAGGAAGTGGGCTTAATAGTTAAAGCTGTCTTGCTGACCTGTTATGGGCATTACCAAACATATCCCTTTCATCTTGTGGGTTGATATTGTAAAACATCTAGGCCTTCTTTCCTGAATTTATGGGATTATATCATATCTGTATGTGTCTGGCACCTGTCATGACCTTTGAACCACAGGCAAACTAGACTCAAATATGAGCATTATGTCATCTTTATATTGATTTCCTACCACTGATATTAGCAACAAGTAACATATAGCGTGAAGTTTGAGGTTCTCATGGTGGTAAATGCCAAGATTATGCGTACTGTCACCTGGGACGTGAAGCCATGTAGCTTGGTAGGTAGGTATGTGTGGTTTTGAGGAACCTGCTACCTCCACCTTCAGGGTAGAATAATTTGTATATTTGTACCATGAAGATTGAGGCAGCAGGTTACTCCAAACACTGGTACATATCTACCAAACTGTATGGTGTCATGTCCCAGAAGAGAGTAATCTCTTAATGCATGGTGGTAAAATAAAATGGTAACCATGAAATCTGTACTTAGGTCATCTGACAGAGCTTACAGATGAGCTTCTGCAGTTAGGCTTGTGAAATGTAATTTTAAGAGAGGCCATACCATATTTAACAGAATCTTTACTAAGCACTTGGGGTGGTAGGGGTTGAAAATTACATCATGGCTATGCAAAACTTTGGGGTTGTGCGTGGTGATTTTACATAGTGCCTCTCCACTGGAGCAAAATAGATGGAAAACATCGTTCTTTTATAATTTTTGCCTGCCTGTCTGTTCATGCATAAATATATGTGTGTAGGGTTCATTCCATTTGTTATGGTGTTACATGACAAAATATGTTTCAGTGAAATTTATAATCACGTTACATTTATTTTTGTAGTCACAAAGTAAGTGACCTGCTCTTCTTACGGCTTCACTGCCATACAATAATGTTAATCTAAAGAATGCCTTGTAAATGTGAATTAATTTGTCTACCAACTAAGTTGCAACTCTTTGAAATTTGTGTTCACTGTACTGTAGCACTTCATGGATGACAGGTAGCATTCTTGCAGCACCTCTCAGTGTCTTTTTACTTCTGAAAATATCTGATTCTTTCTTATGGATACCAGGCTGCTTTTATAGATATTTCAAAAGAGGTCTGTTAAAGTGATAATCATATTTCTGGAGTTGTTCACATGAAGTGCCCCAGTGTTAAACTGTGTGGCTTATGTGCAGACTGGCTGGGATGTAACTTAGTAAATGCTCATTGCTGTTGGAAGAATGAGACTCAAGGATTTGTGTTGTCATGTTTGTACTTTCAACAAAAGTTCATAAAAAAAATTATAGGCTACAAGCAGAGACTTTCATTACGTTTTCATACATGCACAGAAGCTGCCACCACATTGGGACCATTAATGTGAAATGGCATTTCAAGTGGCAGGACATTTCTTTTAAGTTTAGTGGGATGTCTCTTGCTTCATGAGGTAATTTTTTTTTTGGAGACCAGTCTAAAAGTTGCCAAGCTTAACATTAAACAGGTTTGTAGCAGAACTTGGTCATTCAGCCATTAGGAATTCAGTTGCTGTAGTTTTGGGAATGTGCGAGGTGTCTTCAACCTCTGCTTCTGCCTTACCTGGCTGTTGACTGCAGAGGGTTCATGTGTATCATGCTCGTACCAAGCTGACAGGAGAGGTTGGGAATGTAGACCCTCATTAACATCTGTAACATTTGCTTCTCAGGACAGGCAGAGGATCATGTGGATCACAGTGGCCTGGAAGAGGAGACAAGATGGATACCAGTTAACATGGATTTGGGCAGTGCAAAACTGTACATGGACAAGGCAAATTTCATGTTTAAATATTTTCAAAATTACATCAGTTTTTTCTAAATAAAATGGCAGTCCAAAAGTAGAGTTTAGTGGCATTAAATTGAGAGCATGGTTCCATGTCCAGTAAGTAGGCAATTTTTTCTTTAACCAATAAAAGATCCAGGCTTCTTACAAACCACTTGAATGTGATCAGTTGAAAATACATGTGAAGGTTCTTAGCTCAGATATTTGTACAATCTTCAAAATATTTTATCATCTAATAAAACAGAACATTCTTAACAATGTTTGGAATGGTAAATTCAGAAGAAAACCAATAAAACAGGCTATTAAATATGAGACATTAACGGGTATTATGTTTTGACCTTCACTTTAAAAAATGGATTACTTCACAAAAGGACTGGGATGAGCATAGATGACATTCTGAGAGTATTTATTTGTTGAAATGTAAAACATATTGTACATCTATATAGCAAGAATTAATGATCTGAAGAGTCTCTTACATTACTGTAAAAACACAGACTTGAGTTACTGTGAACAATACTTGGACCTAAGAGGGAGAAAGTAACACAAGGCTCGAGGAAATATCACAATGAGGGTACAAAGGTAGACTTATCACTGGGGTTAATTTTGCATCACACTCCCAAGTCATGAAAATGTATGGGGAAGTGGACATAAGCTTCACCATTCTTGACCTCTGCACCAGATGGTGACTGGTAACTGGTCAGCTTCATGCCCCTGCTGCTTTACCCCTGGCAGCCACTGGTTAAATCCAAGAGCATTTGGTCATTACTAAGGTGAGAAAAATGAACTGCCCTTTCTTGGAATTGAACCCCAGTTCCTTGATCATCCAACCCACAGCCTAATCATTATACCAACCAAGCTCTTCATAATCTTGTACTCTTTCACAAGTAATACTAGGGTGACCAGTTCAAGGCTGAGATGGGCAGAGCATTGTAGCATATATGACAGAAAAGAGATACATACAAAAAGTTACAGCAGAAAACTTGAAGGAAATAGCCTATTTCTAAGACACAGGCATTTGTGGAATGATAATATTAAAATGGACTGAANGTGATGTGCGTGTCGAGTGGGGGGGGGGGGGTTTGGTCTTCATCCACTTGGCCATTCAGGTGCCCTAGCAATAGTGCTTCCAGACTTTTATTGGGGAGGGGCTCACTTTGAATATTGGCTAGAGCACCAGCTATCCTCAGTCCTTCCACGCAAATGCTCAGATAGTGCCTCAAGTAGGTCATGGACCTCTTCCTTGCAAATCCTTCAAAACCATCCTCCATGGATGATCTACCCCTGTATAATTCTGACACTCAAAGTTCCATTAAATACCCTACTAAAAATCTTCTGATTCAATAAAATGTTGGAGATTAGATTATCTGAGCAACTATTAGCTTCTGAAGAAGCACCCTGCTCTATGGAGTTGGTTCCTATTATTTTAGGTTAACTTTACAAGCAGACTATGTGGTAAAAATTTCAGCAATGATTTGCAGTCTGTCTGGAAGCATAACAGGTTGTGTAGGTAATAAAGTTTGGCTAAAAAGCCTAAACTTATGAGAATCATTTTATATTTCTGAGAAGTTTTGTTTCCTGCTCCTCCATATCAAGATGGAAGGTTGATGTAGGAATTATCCTAGCAATCCACTGCTGTACTAATGATGATTAAATAAACGTCTGTTATGTAGTGACTGTAACATGAGATCTATGTAGCATTCTGCATTTATGTCACAAGATGGGGCACCAAGCAGCTGCCCTGGCGACTCTCAAACAACTGCCACTGCACTTACAGCAGTAGAACCTGATATTACATGTATCAATATCACTTTCACTTTTCACTTTATTTCAAATTCCACAGATCCCTTCAGGTCATGCATGCCACAGGATATAGAATAGAATGTCAATGGTTTGTAGTGGTTTCCAAACAGTATCGATGTCCCTCTGATGATGGTCTATAAGGACCGAAACATGTAAGGGCATTAAGAATTTAAGTGGGAAAACACTGGACGGAATTGTTTTATCTTCTATAATGTCAAAATACATAAAAACAATGGACCCATCAACGTGCAATACAGTCACAGCACAAAATTGGTACATAAAATATTCAAATATGATCAAATTTATGCATATATGATTATCATTATCACAATCATAAATTAATACAAAAGATCTATTCATAACATAGACGTTCGATGCAATTATCTCCATCACATAACCACAATACTTAATTTAACAGTCCAAATATAATATATTTCAGCAATGTGTGGCTGACTCTCTTGTAGTGTTATGTTACCGTTTAACTGGTCAGAATTTTTTCTTTGAAGAAAGTAGAAGTTCAGGTCCGTGGACACAAGTCAGAAGAGCATTAAGTTACTACAGTATTACTCAAATGAAAGTGTGAGAAGGTGAGTGCTGAGAAAGATCACAGCATTTGTTGTAGCAATGAGAGGCTGTCTGTACCGATAACCAAATCCTGTATGGCAATGCTTGTATTAGAGTTACCAGAGTTCAGTGCTACTCCCTCTCTGAATGAAACTAGTTGAACAGCTTACCTGCTGCCTTCACATCTGCATGTAGCACCTTCAGAACTTAACAGCCTCAGCTCATTCACCCTGTCAATGTGGATTGGTTGACAGGCATAAATCTCTGGAACTTCACAGCCCCGTTCATTTATCCTGGCAACATGGTTTGGTTGGCAGGTACACAGCCAGGACATCTGCAGAACAAAACAGAGGTGCAGATGCTTTCCTCTCTTAATGCTATGTGAGGCATCAAGGTTCTGTGACCATGTCACAGCACTACATGCCTAATGATAACATCTGATGCAAGGGAAAGAACAGTTAATAAGTTTCAGTTAAGTTAGTTCTAGGTTCAGATTTCATGTATTCGACATGTTGACATTTAGGAATTTTAATAAAACTCATTCATCAAACAGTGGGAAGGATGTGTGGAATAGTAATGTGCTTCCTTACCAACAGATGAAATTTGTATTAAATCAAATCTAGATGGCGTTCATGAGATTCGTAATTGCTGACAGATGCAGTAGCATGACGATCGCTAGCCCCCCCCCAAACCACTTCACAGCAAAAATCAACCTTTGGTGATCCTACCAGTTGCTCTGTAACCGTGAAGGGAGGTTGGTACATGTGTATTAATACTGCATATTAAATCAGTTGTACTAGTCACACGCGCAATAAACTGTGAAGGCTACAAAAACAAAATCCCTGAAATCGTTAACATGTGCTGGTGAATATTAAGATTTATATTCCATGATGGCATAACCTCACATTCCGCCAAGCGTAAGTTAGTAATACTATTTCTATTAACATTACTGAAGGTATAGCTTTCATTGTATTAAACTTGTATTATTTCCTGACATATTACTTACCACCAAACGCTTACCATAATTATTTATTGACTCTTAGTAGTCCGACAAACCTATCGCATCGTAACTTAACAAACCTAGCCTATTGCCGAAATTGTTTTTCATCTACATTTAGTACGGGATAGCAAAATTCAAAAGTTTCATATAGGTTCTAGGGTATTTTGCATGCTTCCTATTCATTAGTCATATGCCGTTTTGAAATTTAAACACATGGCTTAGCAGGCTTCAATACGTTTATGCTTATCACCTTGACTGGAAGGCACATAACTCCAGTAAAAATATACTTGTCACCTTCACGTTACATAGTAATCAACTATTACTGTTTCCAGTAACTCACATTTCATGATTTTTACATGAAATCTGTACTCCCTCTTTGAGTATTGCACAGATAAAATTATTTGAAATCACATTTCCAAAACCTTGGAAGGCCGGTGCGAGACATTACCCATAATTCCCTTGACTTCCGGCATGTCAGAAGCACACGATTTAGTGTCGCACATAATCAAACCGGGCATATATTTTGGATGTATAAAGTAAATTAATAAAAAAGAAATAGTTTATCAGAATTTATCAGACCACTCCCATACCAACTAATCACATTGTACTAATAACGCCTTTTAAATATTTTATATTACCCATGATTCTCTGCACTCCTGGTTTTGTGAGGTACAAGGGATTAGAATTATGTAAATTCTTTTATACTAACAAATTTTCTATAATTTCTCGTATATGCTTAATTCCAACTATTCAAATTATACAAATATCGGTATTTAAATTTTGTTATTTTCAAACCTTTTTCGCTCATGATCCCATAAGCGACCGGATATTTCATGATAACTACATCTGGCGGATCAATCACGAAATAAAAATCTCTTGCATAATTTTTTTAAATAATTTATATTTGTGCTTACCGAAACTCTCACAAACATTACGTAAACCGAATTAGCAAACTTAAACGAACGTTATATGTACCACAGTACGAGGTGCTGTAGAAGTATATAAAAATATGTAAATGCGCACTCCCGTATTATTATATGTTTTTCTTAATTTCACTCTTCTGAGGCTATGGAAAGAATTCTCATGGATCGCCCACATCTCCCGCAAGCGTTCTACTTCCTCCTCCAACATACTGCTCTGTATTTGGCTGCAGTAGTCTGGCCAGTCTCTTGGTTGAGACATCAACGTCATGACCTTCACTAGCAACATGCACTTCGAACTGACACGGCCAAATTAATCCAGTCATCACCCTGCCATCCTCCAGCCTACATCTAGGTATGGCCAATGATCTTCCTTCACCTCTTCCTGCCAAAACATGGTATGCATTTCTCTTCCCTCTCATTTGCCCTATATTTCCTGCCCATTTCATTCTCCATGATTTGATCACTAATAGTATTTAGTCAAAAGTACAAATTATAAAGCTGCACATTATGCAATTTCCTTTAGATTATGGTTACTTCCTCCCTGTCAGGTCTAAACGTGCCCTTCAGCATCCTGTCCTCAGACACCCCAAAGCCTGCATTCTTTACTTAAAGCGAAAGACAAAGTTTCACAGTGATACAGAACAACAGGCATAATTTTAGTTTTGTGTATGTTGATCTTTACGTTTATTGGCAAGGAGATGGGAAGACAAACCTGAACAAAACAGGTGCAAGCAGTCCCTTAAATTCAACCTGCTCCTAATTTCCTCATGTATGCAATTTTCATCTGTTTGAGTCATAACCAAATATTTGAAGTTTACAAATTTTTTAAGGATTTATTAGATATTTTTGTTTTGCTTTTGTGCTGCATTCTAATGAAGAGAAATGGTTAAGTGGTTAGTTTTCCCTGTTCTTACTTTTAAACCAACCCCCTTACTAGCATACTACCGTGCTGGATAGGAAATGTACCAGACAGACATTTATCTAAACGGATTTGACTGTAGGTATCACTTAAACACATTTTAATTAGCAGAGCTTGCTGCCTGCTTCATGCTGGTACCTCTTGTTCCCCCCATGCTAGCTATATATGTATATAATACATTTTATTATATTTTAGTATCACCATCATGTCTTGGTTATGTGAAGATGTGAAAGGAGCTGTGATGGAAAGAATACTGCAAGAAATAAAGAAAGATGTGATGGGCAGAACACTACAGGAAGTGAAGAAATCTGTGATGGACAGGACACGGCAAAACATTGAAGGGATTCTGTTTTCACATTTTAACAATCCTGGGCATGCAGTAGCATAGTCGGTTGAGGCACTATGCTACAAGCCAGATGGTCGTGGATTCAAGTCCTGACGAGGTCCTTGGATTTTTTTTCAATTGACCTGATCCTTCCAGCCGAAATACGGGGTCAATTCAGCCTCTAACAGAAAAGAGTACCAGGAATATTCTTCGAATATTTTTGAGGCAAAGGGCGGCCAGCACGTAGTTCTCACAACCATGCCACCATCTATGAGCCGATTGTCTAGAAAATGTGGGAACTTCAACGTCTCACAACCCTATGGGCCTCCACGGCCTGTTACAGGGATACCTTTACTTTTTTTAACAATTCTATTTTCCTGAGTCAGAGCAGTCATGATTTCATGTATGTCAATAACATTGTCCTGAAAATGAATGACATTTTTTCACACCATAATGCATATTGCTCGAACAAGTTATCTTAACCTTCCAACTTTTGCTTTGCAGCCAGCTGCCTGAAGGGGGCCATCCCAGTACCTCAAGCAGAAGTCCATGCTTTGAGTAGCACAGGGCTGCCCTGAGCAGGTACTTCACCAGCACGCCATGCAAATGTATAGTCACACACATCTGTTCAAACACAAACATCAGCTTAGCTCATCCACTACATGAGATGATCACTGCATTTTCATTTGATTGGTATTAGGAACATGAGAGACCTGTATAGGGGAATAAATGAATTTAAGAGGGTTTATAAACCTAGAAGTAGCTTAGTGCAGGATGAGAATGGTGATCTGCTTGCAGATTCCCACAACATTTTGAGTAGGTGGAAGAACTACTTCTGTCAGTTATTGAATGTACATAGGGTCAGTGACGTTAGCTAGACATACATACAGCTGAGCTGTTAGTACCTGGTCATAGTCCTTTTGAGGTTGAAATGGCTATTGCAAAGTTGAAGAGGTATAAACTGCCAGGCGCTGATCAAATTCTGGCAGAACTAATTCAAGCAGGGAGGTGAAACATTATGGTCTGAGACCCATAAGCACTTTAAGTCTATTTGTTATATGGAAGACCTGCCTGATCAGTGGAAGGAGTCCATTATTGTACCAATTCACAAGAAGGGTGATAAGATTGACTGTAGAAATTATCGTGGAATATCACTGTTACCAACGTCATACAAAATTGTATCCAATATCCTTCTCTCAAAGATAAATCAATACACAGGTGAAAGTATTGGGGATCATTTCTGTGGCTTTCAATGTAACAGATCAACTACTGATCGATCATTTGCATTCATCAGATACTGGAGGAAAAATAGGAGTACAATGAGATAATATATCAGCTATTCACAGACTTCAAGAAACCCTATGATTCAGTTAGAAGGGAAGTGTTGTACAGTATTCTCAGAGAATTTGGTGTACCCATGAAACTAGTTAGATTCGTTAAAATGTGTTTTAGCAGAACCTATAGTGAAGTTTCTATAGGTAAAAAGATTGTCTGATAATTTTCCCATCCAGAATGGTCTATAACAAGGATATGCTTTATTGGCACTGCTTTTCAGGTTTGCTTTAGAATATGCCATTAGGAAGGTCAAGGAAAACCAGGTGGGGCTGAAATTAAATGGACACATCAGCTGCTGGTCTACGCTGATGAGATGAGCAGGGCATGAAGCATGAGTGGGGGCAGGGGAATGGATATAAAATACTGGTGGGAAAGCCAGAAGGAAAGAAACCAATAGGAAGACCAAGATGTAGGCATTTGGATAATATTAAAATGGACCTTAGAGAGATAAGATGGGGTGGTATGGACTGGATCAATCCGGTTCAGGACAGCGATCAGTGGAGAGCTGTTGTGAACATGGTAATGAACCTTCGGGTTCCATAAAATGCTGGGAAGTTTTTGAGTAGCTACATCGTAGCTTCTCAAGAAGGGCTCAGCTACATGAAGTTAGCTGGTATTTATGCCAACTGTCCCATCATTGTTTGGCACTTGATACATGTTGTTGTAATAGTTGAAGACATTTTGGATATAACAATTCATAGGAGAATGTAGTGTATCTGGCTCTGAAAATTTATGTCAAAATCAAATTTTCAAGTCATCATCAGTTAAACTGTGCCGTTCATGGCTCAAGCTGAAGATTCTGGCTGGATACAAGACACTTGTCAGATTACTATTATATTTCATGGCCACAGTTCGACTAATACACACACACACAAAAGGATTTGTCTTGGTCTTCTCCATTTATGATGCTATAACATAACATTGCATTGCATTCCATGGATCCAAAGTTAGTCAAAATGACTGTAGGATGTGGAATATGTCATATAAATACAAAACATATGTAGTGTCCCAATGGAGTTCTCACACAAGAGAAACCAAGAATATACAGTGCTTACACACAAGGCTATTTAAAGATATATAAGTTATTCTCTAGACAACAAGTATTCATCAACAGAGTAGAATGAATGTGCATTTAAGTATCGTTTCATTGCTATTTTAAATCGTGCTTTCTCATTCATAAGACCTTTGAGATCAGAAGGCAGGTTATTAAAAATTTTGATCCCAGCATAATATGCACTTCTCTGAAAGCACGAGAGGTTAGCAGTTGGTTTATGAAGACAGTGTTTGTGTCTTGTGTTAAAACTGTGTACATCTGCATTCATCTGAAAATGTTCTTCGTTATTTGTAATGAAGTTTAGTAATGAATATATATATTCACAAGGAAGAGTTAAGATCTGTAGTCTCTGAAATAGATCTCTACAGGAATTACGGGAGTTGACACCCATCATGATTCTAACAATTTTCTTTTGCAATGTAAATACCTTTTTACTGTCAGATGAATTACCCCAGAAAATTATTCCATACTTCATTAAAGAGTGAAAGTAAGCAAAATAGATTGATTCGAGTGTGTCATGTTACTAATATGTAACGTGAATCTAACTGCATAACATGCTCTACTTAGCTTTTGAATCAACTGATTGATATGGTTTTTCCAATTTAAATGACTACCAATTTGCAAGCCAAGGAATTTTATGTTTGCTCCTTCTATATATTTATCATTACATCCTGCGTTTAATGGATATTGTGAGTTTTCTGTTATAAATTTTATTACATTTGGTTTTTCTAGGTTCAGGGACAACTTGTTTGCAGAAAACTATTTACTCATTCGTGAAAGAACCTTGTTTGATAACGTGCAGAAATCATCTAAATTTTTACCGGAAATTATGACACTAGTGTCATCTGCATATATTATAGGTATTGATGAGGTCCTTAGTGTAGGAGGAAGGTCACTTATATAAATTATGAAAAGCAAAGGCCCCAAAACTGACCCCTGTGGGGGCAGTAGTCTTATTCGTGATTAATGGCAAATGGGATATAAAGAAAATATTCTTCAAATATATGATAACCCAGCAACCACAATAGAATCAACAAGGGAATTAACTTTCTAGCTATCAGAGAAGCCCTAATAAATGAATCAAAAGTCCTTAGGGAACCACCGTTCACTGAAACCATGAGGAAACTGAAAATTTTGGTACATGGCCTGCATTTGTCATATTTAACTCCAGATAAACTTGCTCCTTGCTTTGAAGGTATGAATATAACTCAAAATGAATGTACAGTTTTGACACCTGTTACAATAAGTGATAATTTAACCTGTGCATGTTTAAGGAACAGCATTGCTGTACCATGTAATGAAATAAATTTATGACTAATAAACAGTGATGTTAACCATACTGATCAAATTCCTAATAGTCTTAAATAGAGGCCTTAAAACTTTCCTAAGTGTAGATTCCATACCCTGCAAAGAAGAAGGTAACAGACATGTCCCAGTGTAGTTTTAAGTCATTAATAATAAATCCTGTATATACTGCGGTATTGTTGAGGCAATGAATGCCACTCCAGGTACACCACAGCTGAACAAACTATTCTGTTGTTGAAGTCAGAACTAATAAGAGGGAGATGCAAAGAAAGTTTACTCATGTATGTTAGGATCTTCCGGGAGATGGGAATTCAGACTTTTGTCTTATGCATGAAGAAATGTCATTCATGCTAATGGGCATTGTCACCAAATTTAAATTCTCTACAACATAAGAATTCAGAAAAAAATTAATAAAAAGACTTTTAATTAAAATGGATTTTGAAGAGACAGGACTGAATCTCATGTCTCAGTGGTTAGCACTCATGCTTTGTATTTGGAATGTGTTAGGTTCAATTTTCGGCCTGTGGACCAGCTAACCGGATTGTGGTTTTCCTTGGTTCCTCCATTCAAATGCTGTGGCAGTGCTGTAAATCAGAACAGTCACTTCCTTCTACATCCTTTCTAATTAAAATCAATCTTTTGGCACTATATAGCCTAAGCTATGTCAGCACCCTAGAGTAAAATAGAAATAAAGTGAAGAGATTGGAGGAGCTTCCAACTCTATAGAAGAACATAGTAATAAATATATTAGATTTGTGGTTCTCAGACGGTGACTTTTTAAGCATTTAAAATATACAGCCTTGAGATTGAGATACGGTGAAACCCCCATTTAAGGACTCTTTGGAGAGAGCAGTGGATTGGGCACCAAATTACTGAGAAAATTTAACACTTGAGAGTGCATCCTTTGGATCAATGAAACTAAATTTTAAATGAGAGAAACTTGTAAACTGAGGAGCAAAAAATGGGGGTTCCATTGTACTGCCCAGTAAGGTAACTTTCCAATCTAAGAAGTTTTCAAGCTTCATGTTAAAGTTACAAATAAGTGTAGATTACCTGAGGCATTGTTGACTGTGCAGTGTTTGTGTCTGGCTTCCTTAAAGCTGACAGAGGAGGGGTTGGGAATGTAGAGTTCCACTCACAGTTGTAACATTTGCTTTTCAGGAGGACAGGCAGAGGAAGAGGTGCATCGTCATGGCCTGAAGGAGAGAAGAGGACAGCAGTAAACATGGGCTTTCAGACAGTGGGAAATTCTACATGGACAAGGTAAATTTTCATGCTTAAATATATGATTTAATAACCTGTAGTGTACTTGGTTGAGGCACTGTGCTACAAGCCCCAAGATCATGGGTTCAATTCCTGATTAGGTCATTAGATTTTTCAGTTGACCTAATATTTCAGCTGCACTATGGCCCTGAGGTTGCCTGAGCCTCTAACAGAAATGAGTACCATGAATCTTCTTGAGGGCTAAATGGTGGCTGGTAAGGCTGACAATCTCGCCACCATCTATCAGCTGATTGGACAGAAAATGTGGGATCCTCGATGTTTCACAACCCTATGGGCCCCTGTAGCTTCTTACAGGGACAGCTTTACCTATTGGCATTAAATTGAAACCATGATCAGTGAGAATGTATTGAATAAAAGAGTATTCATGCATCTTGCAGTGGAATCTGATTAACTGTAGTCATGAAGGTTCTGAAATTCTAAAGTAAGTAAAAGTATCCCTGTGACAGGCCATGGAGGCCCATAGGGTTGTGAGATGTTGAGGTTCCCACATTTTCTAGACAATCGGCTCATAGATGGCAGTAAGGTTGTCAGCCCTCCGGCCACCCTTTACTCCCAAGAATATTCCTGGAACTCATCCTTCTGTATAGAGTATGTGCAAACTTTTGCAGAGATTTAATACTAAAAATTAACCAACAAATATTGTTCCAAATGTGTGTACAGTCATATAAGCTTGTCTCTTTGCCTTTCACAAGTCATTGGTTTCACGAATAACATATCGACGTCTTTATTCCAAACATTACAGTACAAAATTGTATTACATGCCAAGGTATTAATACATAATTTTATTTGCTTTTACAAACTGCAAAAATTTAATTCCTGTAGAGGCTTAAGGAGGAAGACTGTTCTCAGACTCAGGAAATAACATACTGAAACACACCAGCATCATACTATGAAGATGTATCTGGAGGTGAGGATACAACTTTATGGCCTGGCTGCTTTAAACCCGGGGAAGGAAAGCCCAGTTCCTTGTGATATATCCTAAATTCCTCCACTGACTTTATCCCTCTTCATACAAACATTTCCATTTTCAAACACTTCCTTCAGATCAAGACACATTTAACAACCATACCAAACAAGAGGTAAAATCATATTACTACATCTTGATTTTTATTATTTTAAATACTGTTTACTTTGTAAACTGCATACCAGCTGATCCTCAGCAAAAATTGCTGTAACAGCCCAACCCACTGAGACAACATACCTATTGCATTAGCCTAAATGATGACTCGTGTGAGGCAAAACACAACTAGATATGACAGTGCAACATATAACATCAATGCTGTCAGGATTTGTGAGAACTCAAAATATTATACTAAGAATTCTAAGCAGCACAACTGTACCCTTCACAACAAAGATGACAATTTTTGTAACAGCATAGGCCATATACTGTAAAATATAAACAAGACAAGGAATTTCTTGACTAACTCTGCAGTTATTTAGCTTCTCAAGGAGAACTCTATTCCATGGGGTTGATTAGTTACATTTAACTAGTATGTTTTCTGGAACAGGTTTCTGTGTGGTGAGTACTTTATAATCAGATAAGTATGTTGCATCTTACACACATTCTCTGAAGCTGCAGTTAAAAAACTGGGCAATAATTCTAGATCTGTACATGATGCATTACAAATAATGCATTAAAATACCAACAGAAGGGACATACAAAGCGGTGGTCATTTCCTCCCTTAAATACAGGGGATGGACAAAAATATGGAAAAACCTCGTGAAATGCATGCCTGAATTGAAGTGTTTATTTTAGCGACGTTTGTAGGTCACGCTGTCGCATCTGCCCACCACCACTACCTGTACAACCTCCGCAATACGTTGCAAGCTTTATCTGTTGTCAAGACAGTGTTCTGTGCAATTTTTTGTGCATCACGTCAGAGCTAACAGAATTCGAATGCAGGCAAATTGTTGGGGCCCATATGGTGGGTGCTTCCGTAACCAAGGTAGCCGAGGTTTTTGGTGTTTCGCGAGGCACAGTATCCAAGATTATCCCCGCATACAGGAAGACTGAAAAAACCGCATCTGATAAACACCAGCGTGGACGGAAATGTGTGCTGAGTGATCAAGAGAGACGAACATTGCATAGGATTGTGACGAAAAATAAGAAGACTACAGCTGCAAAGTGACTGCTGAACTGAATGTCATGCTCACAAACCCTGTCAGCACCAAAACAGTATGAAGGGAACTCCACAAGCAGGGTATTTCTGGATGAGCTGCAATTCCAAAGCCACTCATCAGTGATCAAAATGCGACTAAGAGGACAGTGTGGTGCCGAAGTCATAAAACCTGGACTATAGAGCAATAGAAGACGGTCATTTGGTCGGATGAGTCCACCTTCACACTGTTTCCGACTTCTGACAGAGTTTACGTCTGGAGAACGCCATCCCAAGCTTACGATCCAGATTGTTTGCTGCCAAGAGTGAAACACGGTGGGGGTTCGATCATTGTATGGGCACCCATATTGTGGTATTCTGTCGGACCCATCATTACCCTGCAAGGTCACGTCACTGCCAACAACTATGTGACCATTTTGGGCGACCCGGTCCATCCCATGGTGCAAACTTTGTTCCATAATGGTGATGCCATTTACCAAGCCAACAATGCCTATGTTCACATAGCTCACATCATCCAGGACTGGTTTTCTGAGATCGAAGATGAAGTGTCACATCTGCCATGGCCCCCACAATCGCCAGCTATCAATATCCTTGAGCCTTTGTGGTCTGTTTTGGAGAGCAATCTGCGTGCACGCTATCCACCTATACTTCAATAACAGAACTTACCATGTTTTTCAGGAAGAATGATATAAGACTCCCTTGCAAATCATACAGGACATCTATTTATCCATTCCAAGGAGACTTCAAGCAGTTCTGCAAGCCAGAGGTTGTCCTACACCATATTAAGTCATGGTAATGTCTTTTTTGTTGGGTGTCCATTTTTGTCCATCCCCTGTATTTTCACTGAAGGTTGTTCAAGTAACTGTCGAGTCATTCTGGGAACATTTGTTGTTCATGAGTTCTGCCATGACAGCAAATGTCTGGAACATAATATCTTATGTTCGCTTCAAGTGATACAGAAAGCAAACATCTGAAATTCTTAAAATGTGCTAGTGCTACCACACACAGGTCCTGAAGAGCCAAAAAAGAGAAGTCACCAGTGGAAAGTGGTAGTAAGTTACCAGATTAGGTGACGCATGACAAAAGCACTAACTTCACACTCAGCCATTCATATGGACTACAACTATAATGGGAGCACGTTCAGCATGAGTATTTCTGTCAACACGGAAATCCCACTTTCACATTCCTGTAGTTTCTGACTTGTACATGTACAATTACGAACATTTTGCCATGTTTAACATACCACCTTCTATGGATGTAGGGAAATCACACCATTCTTTATATAAGCCTTTCAAGGGTCTCTTCCCTTCACAGTTCCCAAAATTTTGTATGCATTCCAGGTACCTCCCATACATGGTAATGCCCCATCCTTGTCATCCTCCTTGATTTGTTCATTCTAACAATGTTCAGTAAAGCATACATGTAATAAAGTTTTCACTGTGCATGTTCCTCAACCTATTACTTAGTTCCTCACATCCAAAATGCTGGGGAAGTAAAAATAAAGCAAAGAGACTTGTTTAGACAGAGGGACTTGTTATCAGTTCTTGGCTATGTCTGTCCACCCCCTACCTCTCTCAATTAAATGTTGGCCTGCCAAGATTTCTAACCCATCTTGGTGTAAATACCACAGTATATTACCCGGAATTCAGTTTGGGCAGAAGTAGCAACTAAACTAGCTGAATAATTTACCTGCTTTCTCAGATGTCATGATCCTTGTCTACATAGAGAGACATGTGCTGCAACTTCAGAACTTCAGAGCCCCAGCTTGTCCATCCTGGTAGCAGGTATCTGGCAAATATTTCCATGCAACATGGTTTGGTTGGCAGGTATGGAGCCAGCACATCTGTGGAACAGAATGCAACCAATACGGACTCCTTCCTCCATAAATCCACATCCTGAACCAGCCTACACCCTATCAAGCTAGCTCACAAATTAATATTATTCCATCTATGCTTTGTTCTCCCTAGTGTAGGATACTTCTATGAGTTGTAGATGCTGTAAACTGAATGTGATAATGTTACTATGTAGACCAGACCAAGAAACTGATGGTTTCTTTATAAATGGGAAAGGACAGGCAGCCAGGGAGAAATCAAGGTCACATGACAAGAGTCATGGTGACATAATTACACAGCTGGTGCTCAGCAAACGTGCATGTCTCATCTTGCTATGAGAAAACAATTTTGTATCCTGTGCTAAAGCTTCATATCTTAGGTGACATCATATTCTTTGCCCGCAGGAACAGTATGGCCTTCTCCCCAGTTGAGGACAATAACAACGAAGTTATGACATTAGGGATCGGTGTTTTAGAGCTATATGAACCAGGATAGCTCAGTATAATGATGGGCTACAGGCTAGATAGCCATAGATTGATTTCCAACAGGCAAGGGAATTTTCTCTATGCCACAGCATTCAGACTGGCTGTGGCACCCACCAAGTCTCCTGTTCAATGGCTATCAGGGACTCTTTCCCCAGGGATAAAACAGCCTGCCCATGAAGTTGACCACTTACTTCAACCTAGTCCTGAGACCAAGAATGGCAGATCTATATATCCACTCCCCCATATGTCTTCAGGGCATAACTTTATCTTTTCACATTACTGAGCTATAACTGTACTGCTTCTTCACAGCTAATGTGTGAAATGGTTCAACAAGAGAGACAGCTAGTTGCAACTTTCAATCACAATGTCACTTGTGTGAAATGTGTCATGAACAAAGTATGCTGCTATCACATACATCTCTGAATGATCCAAACATAGCTAACTCCAATGAACACAATTTCACTGTGTCTCATAAGCTTGAAAAGTGCATTACTGCAATCACAACAACCCAATAACAGACAATAATCTGCATGGAATTAATCCAGTCCACAACCCCACACTCTACAATTTATTTCAGATCCTTTTTATAATATCCCCCATCTATGCTTAGGTCTCCCAGTGAAGCCTCTCCTTGTTTCAGACTTTAGCATGCACTACTATACTGCATCTTATACCTGATAAGGGTGGCTTGTGTGAATGAATAGCACTTGGTATGCTGATGATGACTCTGTCCGGCTTTGGCAGCGGCTGCCTCCTGTTTCCACCGCTCTTGTATCCAAACACTATCTGTTCAAAGGGCTGCTTGCCAGGAGGCTCTGAAAACTGGCACACTGGTTCTCCCCCTCTTGTCACCTGCCAGAATATGACATCCATATATACATGGCTCACTCAATGTAAACTGGTAATTGTTACCAGTACCGCAGAAAGTAGAGAGCACAAGGTATCCATAACCAACCGACTATGTTATTAGTTTTTCTTTCTTAGTTGTAGTAGTAGTATAGGACTGAATGTCCTAGTGTTGCAGCATCAATTGATGAGAGAACAGTTTTGAGAACTGGTGAAATCATAACTGGTAGGGAAAACATAAGTGCTCTGAGAAAAATATGCCTCAGTGTTATTTCATTCATCACAAATACCATGTGGAGTATCCTAGGATTGAGCCCAGGTCTCCACAGTGAGGTGCTGGCAACCAACCAAGCTACAGCATGAACTATAATGTTTAAAAAAAAAATACAGTGGAACCTCGCTTAACAAGCACCTCTCATACCAAGTAATTCGCATAATGAGCAAAACAAATTGTAAAAAAATTACTCGCTTAACAAGCAATGTTTTGCATAATGAGTGACGAGAGGGGAAGTCCCGGATTGTGCGCTTGCTACATCAGTCTGTGTTTAGCACTCGTTCTGCTAGCATGTTAGTGTTGCTTGTGATCACACATTTTTCCAAACTTGTGTTCAGACATATTATTTTTGATTTTTTTTTGTGCAAAGTTTAATAACCCTTGCAAAAATTTTCTTTGAATAAACGTTATACATAACATTTTTTGAGTATCTTTTTCAGCATGGAACGCATTATCGTATTTTACATTAATTTATATGGGAAAAATTGTTTTGCCTAACAAGTGCTTCACATTACGAGTAAGATTCTGGAACGAATTATGCTCGTTAAGCGATGTTCCACTGTAGGTGAATTTCAAATTCTCATCAAGATATGCAATGACAATCAGTAATCTTAGTTTCCATAACTTTATGATGCCAGAAAAGACTTTTCAAAATTGTTGCCTGCCCCTTTCACATAGAATCACTGAAATGTCATAAGACTTTTACAGGTGAAGGTATTAACAGATTAACATGTTATGAAACATTTGCATAGCATAACAATTCTGGCACACTGGTTCACTTCTAATTTATTATCTCAAAGCTGCAAGGGAATTTTCGTAACTGCTGTAAGCCATTCACAAGTAGCTGCTTAAGTGTGGAAGTTGTAAGTCAGCCTGCCAGACCAGTTAACACTCCACACATTTACAATGACAACTAGAAAGTCCAGTCACTAGTCTCTGTACATCCTAAGATCTATTTTTAAACTGTTGTTTGTTTCCATTATAGAGCACATTCAAGTACAGTAAACTCTCACTAAATCTGGTTGCAGTTTAATCTCGATCAAAATATGAGAAATGCTGTTCACAGGTGAGTACATACTTTAAAAGATGCATGGCATTTAGGAAGGCAGATCAGTCAGACAAAACTTGACAGTTTCTTCAAAACTGCATTATTACATTAAAAAACAAGTAAACTTCTGAGTCTTCCACCAATGAATAAAGGTACTGGCTCTTTACAGCGCCATGATTTAGGAGTTACTATAGCTGGAGTATGGATTTACTGATCACTTCCAGATCATAACTACAAATAATTATAACACTATCGCCAATTTCCACACTTTACAAATGCTGAGTCTTCTCCAGCCTGCAGTGTCTTCACTAGTCATTGCTTGGTAACATCTCACAACAATGGAGACTCTTCAGTATCTGTGCTCACATTGTTACTGTTCGGCAAATCTCCCACAACTGATTGTCAACTTATATTACAATGCCATCTCTACTCAGCTTCCCTTGCAGAAATCAACTGAACTGACTACTGTCTAATTCCTAGGCTGGCAGCCATTTCACACCAACCTCCTACAGGCTCTTCACCTCCTACAGTCTTCTCTTCACAGGCTGACTTTCAACTGACAACTAACTGGGTCACCCCAATTGTCTTCAAGATAACTCATCAGCATGGACCATATAGAAAACACCCCTGCGTCCACTGTTGTAGTCCAACTGCTGCAGCTGCCTAGCAATTGGAATATGCTTACCGAGCCCATTTCATGCTCACTGCATAGCAACGGCTGTCCATGCTACAATAGTTTTTAAATAAAGACTCTACAGTAATATTTTGTTATTTATTTTCATCAGTAAAAAAAAAGTAGCCGGTCACGGTAGCCGAGTGGTCTAAGGCATGTACTGTCTTTGCTCGCTTGGAAACCGGGATCGTGGGTTCGAATCCCACTCAGGGCATGGATGTTTAGTTTGTGTGTGTGCGTTTTTCTGTGTTTGCGTACGGGTAGAGGCCTTGCGATGAGCTGATCACCTGCCCAAGGAGTCCTGCCAAATGTGTAAGATCTAGAAAAACCGAAGCGGAGGTCATTCATGGAGCTAGGCCTAGGCCCACTGGGACTCCAACGGACGGACACACACACACACACAAATAAAAGTAAAGCAATCCCTGTGCCAGGCTGTGAAGGCCCATAGGGTTGTGAGACGTTGAGGGTCCCACACTATCTAGACAATCGGCTCAAAGATGGCAGTAAGGTTGTCAGCTTTACGCGCCGGCCGCGCTTTACTCCCCAGGAAAATTATTTAATTAATTCCTGGTACTCATTTGTTTTTTTTTCCTGTGGTGCTACAGCCCCAATTTGGGCCTAGGCCTACTTCCATGGAACTCTCCGTTTCACTTTGGTTTACTAGATCTTACACATACGGTAGGACTCCTTGCGTGAGTAATCAGCTCGTCAAAAGGCCTCTACCTGTAGACAAACACAGAAAAACGCACACAAACATCCATGCCCTGAGTGGGATTCGAACCAACGATCCCGGCTTCCGAGCGAGCAAAGACAGTGCATGCCTTAGACCGCTTGGCTACCGTGACCGGCACTCATTTCTGTTAGAGGCTGAGTAAACCCCAGGGCCTAGCACAGCTGGAATGATTAGGTCAATTGAAAAAATCCAATGACCTCATCGGGACTTGAACTCATGACCTTCAGTACTATATATATCATTAAATTTTCCATTTATTTGTGTTCTAAGTTTTGTATTTTAGGGCTATCTTTCACTTCACTGATCTGGATTATCATTGAATCCAGATAACAAGGGTTTACTGTAACAATAAAACAAAACGCTGCCAATGCTATGCCTCATTCCTCCTGCCCAAATGACAACATATTATCCCGTCATTATGGTGGGCCTACCTTAAGCCAGAACCACTTCCCCACATATTCAATGCCCCATGCTGGGAATATTTTGGTGAGAAGGCAGGTAAGATGACTGTCTGAGTTGGTACACCACACAGCAACTAGGGACCCTGGTGCAATAAGGGCAGGTACAGGAATATTTGCCAAGTCCTCACTGTACATCATCTGGTACCTGAAATGTCACATGACTCTTGTTGACACAAATATCTCCACCCAGAGCCCAGTCTGCACTGTTAATATGAACTTAATATTCTAAAAAATGAAATGAAAGTGAAAAAATTTGTTCCACAAAAGTCCAGGCCATGCACAACACAGCAATAAATACAAAAGATGTTGGGTTCTCACAGCACTGAAGATCACAATGACTGTCTTCTGGGATTTGATAACATGTAATCTGGTAGACAGGTATCAATGCCACATTCAGATAAACATTCTGACTACATCTTCAGGATAGAAGGATAGAAATAAATATGGAAGCAATCACCATGTACCCAGATTATGTATCACCCCATCCCATATGACTGGCGTTAATAAAAATGATACTGGATGCATGACAATCAAAATTCAAGGACAGTAGGGTCTGTCACAACTTATCCATGGACCTACTGGTGTATAACTTGAAATTCATAAGAATTAAGGTGAAAGAATCACATGATGAAAAGTGGAACTCACGTTATTACATAATCAAGACATGTGTGCAAGAATGAAGAGTCCAATGTGATGGGTTGCATGCCTGAAAATGTGAATACTAGAACACCCTGCGCAAAACATTTAGGGGGTAGTGTGAGAATCATAATACCTATGTGATGTACAGTAGGAGTGAAATACTGACCCAACCTGAGACTGGGTACACTAACAAGGAACTAAATAAACTATCCTTAACCTATCCTACTCTTATTGTGAAATATGGATGTATGCAGCAACAAGATGGGATGGAACATCTTATTCTATATGTCCACAATGATGAATCACTTCAACAAGAACTGGTATTTGTAGTATCGTCTGCTGCTAAGCTAACATGCAAACAAAGGAACCTAACCTGTCATTCGCTTCATATGATAAACAAATATGTTTGAATACGAAAAAAAGTCTCTGGTTAAACCTTTGGTGGTACTAACAATGTATTTACTTATTTGCATACATTTTATTTAATGATAATGTCTGTCAGGAGTTCAGACAACATAGTGATGAACCGTAGAATAAGCGAACAATGAAGCGGAAAAGATATGAAAGCAAGGAAGTGGCTGAGGCCTGTGTCAAAGTACAATTCTGACATTTCCCTGGAAGGACAAAGTAAAAAGAATTCTGTCAGGATATCTGGTATCCAGGCAAAGATATGAACGAAAATGCAACAAAATGTGTAAGCAAACGAGGCACACATAACTGGGAACTGTACTCTAAGACACTAAGATTTGTAAATGCTTACCCAGCTCCCACAGATTTGGCTTTCTTGCGCCGGATGTACTTGTTCCACCACGGCGGGTCCAATAGTACAAGATCAAAGGGGCGTGACAGAAGATCCAACTTATTCTGTATTTCATTCACATCATAGCTGAAAAACTTGCATTCTGCAGGAACCAAGTAGTTTTCACCATCCACTTGGGTGACCAATGCCCAGCTTAGGTTGTTCTCACCATGCAGTCTCAGAAATGATGAGAATGGGCAACGGACATAAAAGCTATGTGCCTTATCTTGGGCAGCCCTGTTGTTACTTTCCCTGTCATCTGAAGTTGGCATGTAACCAAAGTGTCCAAACTTCCTTCCCTCCTCAATCAACACTGCAGCGTGTTTCTTTACATACACAGCCTATAAATAAAAAACAACACAGTAAATATATCAGTCACTAATACAATGAGATTACATATCAATCTAGAGGGTAAAGAGCAGTATCATGTTGAAATCTCAAAGAGGTTTGCGGCTTTGGAAAAAACAGACACTGAGGTGGGTGTTAATAAAGTTTGGGAAACTACTAGAAAGAATATCAAAATTTCAACCAAAGACAGTCTAGGTTATGAAATGAACACGCATAAGCCATGGTTTGACAAAGATGTTCAAAATTACCAATTATCAATAGAACCTCCGTCGAGTGTAACAATATATATTCTTGTCACCATTTTCTCACATTTGCCTTACATGTTTCGGCTCACAAAGAGCCATCATCAGAGGCATCCACAACAAAAACATGGAAACACTTGCACTGCTCAACAATCACAATATACAGTTTTTTNAGCCCACACAACCTCGTGCTGACGCCTCCCCCATTGGGACTATCCACTAAGAGGAACCTGAATATTTTACTTGGACGGTTTTAACTTTAATTTTAACATTAACGACCCGCTTTGTGGGTGATATTTTAAATGCAAATGGGATACCCGCACTCGGGGTACTGGATGTTGTTGTGTTTTACGCTCCAATACGTGTAACATCTTCCACAAAAAACTGTATATTGTGATTGTTGAGCAGTGCAAGTGTTTCCATGTTTTTGTTGTGGATGCCTCTGATGATGGCTCTTTGTGAGCCGAAACATGTAAGGCAAATGTGAGAAAATGGTGACAAGAATATATATTGTTACACTCGACGGAGGTTCTATTGATAATTGGTGATTGATAGTGTAACGGACCAAAATGAAACAATTAAAAAAATGTTCAAAATTATTAGACCAAAGGAAACAAGCCAAACTGCGGTGGTTATAGGATCCAAGCAAAATAAATGGAGATAAGCTGAACAATATAAAACATGAAGCCAGCAGGCATTTCAGGAATAAACAGAACGAGTACCAGAAAGACCAAATTGATCAGCTTGCAATAAACAGTAAGATCAAGAATATCAGAGACCTGTATAGTGGAATAAATTAGTTTAAGAGGGGTTCTAAACCTAGAAGTAACTTAGTGAAGGATGAGGAATTGCGATCTGCTTGCAGATTTCCAAAATATTTTGAATATGTGGAAGATCTACTTCTCTCTGTTATTGAATGTACATACAGTCAGTGATGTTACGCAGATAGAAATACACACAGCTGAGTTGTCAGGACCTGATCCTAGCCCTTTTGAGGTTGAAATTGCTATTGAAAAGTTAAAAAGGTACAAATCACCAGGCAGTGACCAAATTCTGGCAGAACTGATCCAAGCAGGAGGTAAAACATTACGTTCTGTGATCCATAAGCTCAATAATTCTATTTGAAATAAGGAAGAACTGCCAGATCAGTGGAAGGAGTCTATTATTGCACCAGTTCACAAGGGTGATAAAACTGACTGTAGTAATTATATGGGGACATCACTACTATCAACTTCATACAAAATTTTATCCAATATTCTTCTCTCAAGGTTAAGTCCATACATGGATGAAATTATTGTGGATCATCAGTGTAGCCTTCAAAGTTAACAGATGAACTACTGATCACTGAAGAAAAATGAGACAGTATGTCAGCTATTCATAGACTTCAAGAAAGTTAGGAGGGAAGTATTGTACAGTATTCTGACAGAGTTTGGGGTACCCATGAAACCAGTTAGGCTGATTAAAATGTGTTTAAAAGAAATGTATGGTAAAGTTCATTTGTCTGACAATTTTCCTTTGCAGAATGGTCTAAAACAAGGAGGTGCTTTATTGCCAATCCTTTTCCTTCTCAACTTTGCGTTTGAACATGCCATTAGGATGGTCCAGGAAAACCAGGTGGGAATGATACTAAATGAGACACATCAGCTCTTGGTCTATGCTGATGAAAAGAATCTACTGGGTGATAATATAGATACCACAAAGAAAAACACACAAACTTTAATTGTTGCTAGTAAGGAGGTTGGTCTAGAAGTAAACACAGAGAAAACTAAGAATATGTTCCTACTGTGTCACCAAAATGCAGGGCAAAATCATAACATAAATATAGAAAACAGATGTTTTCAAAATGTGGCACAGTTCAGATATTTTGGAACAATTATAACCAGGGCCCAGATTTTGATGACATGTCATCTTTTTTTCCTTGTATCCCAAGTGATGCTCTTAAATATATAAATCTCAGATATGAGCTGCTGGTTACAGAAACGTAAATTTTATAAGTAATTTTTTGTCATTTTTGGGAATTTTTCTTCATATGTTTTCTTAAATGTGAATAATATGGAAGCAAAATGTTCTTTCTTTTCTCCTTTAGGTCATTTTTCTGGATATTTTTGGTCATTTTTTAAATATTTTCAGGTCATCAAAATCTGGGGCCCTGATTATAACAAATCAAAACTTGATTCAGGAGGAAATTAAGAGGCGAATGAACTCAGATAATGCTTTCTACCACTCAGTTCAGAACCTTCTGTCTTCTCGTCTGCTGTCTAGAAACAAAAATTAGAATACAGGAAAACTATGATTTGCCCGTGGTCTTGTATGGGCATGAAACTTGGTCTTTGACATAAAGGGAGGAACATAGACTGACGGTGTTTGAGAACAGCATGCCGAGGAGAATATTTTGACTGAGGAGAGATGAACTGACAAGAGGTTAGAGAAAACTGCATAATGAGGCACTTCATAACTTGTACTCTCTTCTCCAAGTATAATTAGAATGATGAAGTCAAGGAGGATGAGAGAGACAGGGCATGTATCATGAATAGGGGAGAAGAGGAATGCATAAGATATAGGTGGGAAAGCCTGATGGAAAGAGACCACTAGGAAGACCAAGACACGGGTGGGTTGACAATATTAAAAAATGGATCTTAGAGAGATAAGATGGGTGTGTTGGTATGAACTGGATTGATCTGGCTATGGACAGAGACCAGTAGGGGCCTCTTGTGGACATGGTAATGAAACTTCAGGTTCCATAAAATGTTGGGAAGTTCTTAAGTAGCTGCACAATTGGCAGCTTCTAAAGTGCTCAGCTCCATGAAGTTAGTTAGTTCATACCAGTCTCTCACAGCAGCAACTCTTGTACTTCAATGGTAAATCAGGCATATCGCCCAATATTTAAACGGTCACAGAATCTTTATACTGATAAATTTAAATCTAATTCTTAAGTTTTCCAAAAGGTGAACCAAGCATGTGTCCATACCAAAGAAATACGGGAGCTTTTCTAACACCGACGAATTGCCCTGCAATGATAGGGCTTCACAGACCAAATACATAAATGTTGCTTTTACTTACGTCTTTCATTTTGATATTTACTGGTCCATTTTCAGTTTTTTTCCGTCGTTTCCTTGGTGGTGAAGCCAGACAGTTTACTTCATGCACAGAACTATCCTTCCTGAAGCACGTCCTAACAAACGGTGTGTTTATTTGAAACAAAGAAGAATCAAATACAAATCTTCTGGCTGGAATCCCATCAATTCTTTCGTATATACTTCGAACAAAATGATCGTGTGAAATAATCCAACCATTCGTTAAAGGGCATAAAACACTCATACTAAAGGATAACGTCCAACAAATCGGTTTACATGCGTTTAAACTACACGGTAAATCTGACGTGTTAATTCCAAGGTTCGTGGAATAATTCGCTACCCCCCTCACATCAGAAGCTTGAACATCTTTATTCTTGTGTGAAAAGAATGTAATTATTATGATGCAATTATCAAGTATACTCGTTTCAAATAACTAACGTTCTTAATTTTCACACATACATTTCACTCTGCACACATGAAACTACTTAAATTTTACATTTCAAAATTCCTTGCAACTGCTCACTTATAAAACTTCACCGATTTTACATTCCCATGATTCCTAGCACTTCCGGCTTCTTCGTAAGCACGGATCAGCAAGTGAAAATTTACTCACCATGGTTTTTCAAAACTGTATGCCCCGAATTCCAATTATTAAAAATTGGTTTTAGCTGTAACAAGTCAGTACCATTTAACATTTGTGTTTTTTGAACACGCAGCTGCAACCAGCAAAATATTTCGTGATTCATTTTGTGACTCTACAGATACATTTATACCTTATTGCAGAAACTCTGTGAACCAAAGTTCTTGAGAAGCCACCAGTCGCTCAGCTACCCAATTTCCCGCATTTTGTAGAACCCGAAGGTTTTATTACCGTAACTGTTCTGAGTCACATGCATCCAGTACATACCAACTGATCCTATTACTCTTAATTCATTTCAATATTTTCCTCTCACATATGTTTAGATCTGCTTAGTGGTCTCTTTCTGACTAAAACCCTGTCTGTATTCCTTCTCTCTCCCATGTGTTCTGCATAGCCCTTCCATCTCATCCTGTTTGATGACTTTGGTTCATTATGCACTTTCCTCCAGGCCCATTATTTCACCTCTCTTTGGTCCAAATATTCTCCTCAGCATCCTGTTCTCAGAAACATCGGTCTATGTTCTTCCCTTAATGTCAGAGGCCAGAAGACAGGAAGGTGAAAGGTTCTGTACCAAGTGGTGGCAACAACTACCTGAATTTAATCTGCTCTTCATTTCCCCATGAATCAAATTTAAATTTGTTACTGCAGATACATATATGTAAAACTATTCAGGTTCTTGTTCCACGGCAGTGTCCAACACATGCCAAGTTTCCCACGACCATCATGTTTGCATTTACTGAGTACTTCATACACAGTATGTAGACATGTTTATGATTTGTGTACCGAATTTCCTATTCATACCTACATTTGCTTAGTTATCACCATCAAAATGAAAGTTAATGACAATTTTTATGTTTCACAAAAACAGTACCTCAACAAAAGTTGTATACTCTCCCAACCTCTATTTGCCATACACAATTTCACGATCCTAAATTAAATGACACTCCTACATCACAAACTAACACATCAGCCATATTGCTATTACTGACTGCAGAAAAATAATTACAATGTTTGTGGTGCACATTCAATGACATGATATCAATACCAAGTTTCCATGGAAATCAGTCAGCTGGTTTGAAAGTTGAAACATAGACATACAGTAGTTACTTACTTATGGAGTTGATACCTTCTTGAGGAGAAGCCAAATCTGCAGCTACTCAAGAATTTCCCAGTATATTATGGAACTTGAAGGTCCATTATGGTGTTAACAAGAGCCCTCCGCACATCCCTATCCTCAGCCAGATCAATCCAATCCATACTATCCCATCCTATTTCTCTAAGATCCATTTTAATATTGTCCACCCACCTATGCCTTGGTCTTCCCAGTGGTCTCTTTCCTTCTGGCTTTTCCACAAATATCCTATATGCATTCCTCTTCTCCCCTATTTGTGCTACATGCCCTGCCCACCTCATCCTCCTTGACTTGATCATTCTAATTATACCTGGAGAAGAGTACAAGTTATGGATCTTCTCATTATGCAGTTTTCTCTAACCTCCTGTCACTTCATCCCTCTTTGGTCCAAATATTCTCCTCAACACCCAGTTCTCAGACACCCTGAATCTGTTTTTTCTCACTTAATATCAGAGACCAAGTTTCACACCCATACAGAAGAGGCAAAATTATAGTTTTGTATATTCTAATTTTTGTTTTTGGACAGCAGACGAGAAGAGAAAAGGTTCTGGACTGAATGATAGCAAGCATTAGCTGAGTTCAATCTCCTCTTAATTTCCTCCTCAATCAGGTTTTGAATTGTTATCTTCATTTCCAAATATTTTAACTGTGTCACATTTTCAAAACATCTGTTTTCTATCATTGTCATGATTTTGCCCTGCATTTTGGTGACGAGACAGCAACATATACTTAGTTTTCTGTGTTTACTTCTAGACCAACCTCCTTAATAGTAACAATTAAAGTTTGTGTGTTTCTCTTTGTTATGTCTATATTATCAGCCAGTAGATTCTTATCATCAGCATTGACCAAGAGACGACGTGTCCCATTTAGTATCAGTCCCACCTGGTTTTCCTGGACCTTCCTAATGGCATATTCTAAATCAAAGTTGAAAAGGAGTGGTGATAAACATCTCCTTGTTTTAGACCATTCTGGATAGGAAAATTATCAGAAAATGTTTACCTATACAGACTTTACTATAAGTTTCGTTTAAACACAGACAGCAAGAAAATCTCATTAGGATCCTGCCTTCTCCCTCCCCCAAGGAAGTAAGTAGTTTTAAAAATGTGAGAGTGGTAAGTGCAAACAGCAGATGAAAATGTATTATTTTCAAATCTTATGCAATAATTTCTTAATATGTTACTGTCTGAGTAGATACTTCCATTGAGAAGTCTGTTATATACACTGCAGAAGAGTTTTAGAAGGCTTTCNGAGCCGCGGCCGCGGAATTTAAATTACCACGTCAAAGGGTTAAATATGCATGCTCATTATCACCATGTTTATTCAGAAGTTACTATACACAAGTCAGGACAGCCTCTGTGGTCTAGTGGTCAGTGTTCCTGGCTACAGACCCAGAAGTCTGGGTTCGATTCCCGGCGCTATCAGATTTCTTTCTGAGAAGTAGTGGGTCTGGAATGGGGTCCACTCAGCCTCATGTTGATAATTGAGGAGCTATTTCAAGAAAATAGCAGCTCCGGTCTAGAAAACCGAAATTAACGGCCGTGGGGATTCGCTGTGCTGACCACACGACACCCTCTATATGCAGAAGTTGGCACTAAACTTCGCCGACAAGCAGCAGTCGCTCAGTCGGTATAGTTTGCTTGCAGACTAAAATCACAGAGTTTGTTTGTGTGTTATACATAAGTCAGAACACCTGACTATGAACCTGGTAACTTCACAAGGGACTGAACAGCCTTTTATCATGTAATGGTCCTGAGTGGTCAAAAACTTACAACTTGGATGTTGCAGAGAGTAAAGCAGTGATGTGTGTGTAAAGATAACAGCTTGTGAAATTCTGTTCAAGCAGAATGCAAAGCAAACTCGAGCATTCTGCAAAACTGAAATGGAAATAAAGTTTTGGAACTGAGGAGACCACACATTCAAACAATGGAGGACACGACACAGGACTGTGTCAAAATTCAACATAATACAGTGCAACAGAATAGCAATTTAACTCACTTCAATAATATATTAAACTTCAAGCATAACTGAGGTGTCCAGAATGAGGCATGATATATATTTTTGAGGGTGAATGTGGTGGGGTACATGGTAGCATAGTTGGTTGAGGCACTATGCTACAAGCCAGGTCACAGGTTTAATTCCTGATGAGGTCACTGTATTTTTCAATTGACCAAATCCATCCAGCAGCAATATGGCCCTAGGATTGACTCAGCCTCTAACAGAAATGAGTACCAGGGATCTTCCTGGGAGTAAAGGGCAGCCATCTGTGAGCTGACTGTCTAGAAACTGTGGGAGCCTCGATGTCTCACAACCCTATGGACCTCCATAGTCTGTTACAGGAAAGCTTTACCTTTTTTCACCTTTCAAGGGGAATATGGTTTGCTACATGTCTTTGAACAACTATACTATACTACTATACTACCAATTAGATTTTGCCCTGCTTTAATTTCAAACATACTTAACTCTTAAGCCACCAGCAACTAACATTGCTTCCGAAATGTGGTCAGTCATTCTGTCCAACAGCCATACCAAATTTCAGAGATATTTCTGAGTTTGTTCTTTGATTCTGCTACTATTCCATCAGATACAAATATCTCAAATATCAGACTTTTGCAGATGGATACAATTACATCTGGTGAAAAATTTTCCCTCACATACTTTTTGTGATATATTTGCATGTCTTGAAATACACACTGGAGGTAACAAGATAGAAATAGTGCATTCATTTTAAATGTATGCAGCTCATCTCATGGAGATATGTTCTGGAACCAATGCTTGTTTCCGTACACATGACATATACCTCACCGTCTCGATGCTTTCATTCAAGATCAAGTGGGAAGACGCCATGTTAAATCCCACCCTCCCCACAAAAAAGGGGCGGAGGGGGAGAGATTTTGAATATGTTACAGTACTAGGCAGTACTTTAAGCAACAGAGTGAAGTGTAAATAAGTACTACATTCCTTCGGAGGGTAGCTGCAAAATATTGAATAAGCAGTTACGGACAGCTGACAAGGGGTGGTCCTCCAGCTTGGGGGTTGGGCTTACAATGCATCACTGTAAAAATAAGGTTCTTATGAAAATTCTCAAGAAGCCTCAAACCTGGACGCATCTGTGGATAAATGACCTAAGCGAAAGAAAATGGATAATGAGATCTAGTATTTGGAATGTTAGAATTACGTATAGGGCAAGTTCGCTCAGGGCAGTGGCGGAAGAAATCTCAAAATATGTGTTAGATTTACTGGGAGTACATGAGGCCAGATGAGGCACAAGTGGCACAGAACCAGAAGGCGAATATACATTTTTCCATGGAAAGAGGAATGAGAATCATGAATTAGGTACAGGTTTCTTTGTACACAAGAGAATCATATCAGCAGTTAAGAAGGTAGAGTTCGTTAGTGATAGGATGTCATACATAATACTAACAGGTCACTGATTTGATATCGTTATGAATGTTCATGCACCAATGGAAGATAAAATTGCTCATATAATGGACAGGTGCTACAAAGGACTAGAACATGTATTTCATTAATTCCCAAAGTACCATATGAAAATTTTGTTACGAAATTTCAATGCCAAAATAAGTAGGGAAGAAATTTTCTTGCCAACAATTGGGAGTGAGGGTTTACACAAAATTAGTAATGATAATGGAGTTATAGTAGTAAACTTTGCCACATCCAAGAATCTTACTGTCAATAGTGCGATGTTCCCACATTGTAACATTCATAAATTTACGTGGACATGTCTTGACAGGAAGGCACACAACCAAATAGACCATATTTTGATAGGGAGATGGCATTCAAGTATACCTGAGGTTCGGTCATTCAGGGCAGCAGATTATGATATTGACTACTACCTGGTGGTGGCAAAGGTTAGGAAAAGACTGGCAGTGAATAAACAAATGATGCACAGAGTTCATATGCAGAGGTTCAATCTCAAGAAATTAAATGAGGCAGACAGTAAGGAGCAGTACTGTGTTGAAATCTCAAAGAGGTTTGTGGCTTTGGAAAACATAGACACTGAGGTGGGTGTTAATAAAGTTTGGGACTCTACTAGAAAGAATATCAAAATTTCAACCAAAGACAGTCTAGGTTATTATGAAATGAACACGCATAAGCCATGGTTTGACAAAGATGTTCAAAATTATTAGACCAAAGGAAACAAGCCAAACTGCGGTGGTTATAGGATCCAAGCAAAATAAATGGAGATAAGCTGAACAATATAAAACATGAAGCCAGTAGGCATTTCAGGAATAAACAGAACGAGTACCAGAAAGACCAAATTGATCAGCTTGCAATGAACAGTAAGATCAAGAATATCAGAGACCTGTATAGTGGAATAAATTAGTATAACAGGGGTTATAAACCTAGACGTAACTTAATGAAGGATGAGTATGGCGATCTGCTTGCAGATTCCCAAAATATTTTGAATATGTGAAAGATCTACTTCTCTCAGTTATTGAATGTACATACAGTCAGTGATGTTACGTAGATAGAAATACACACAGCTGAGTTGTCAGTAACTGACCCTAGCCCTTTTGAGGTTGAAATTGCTACTGAAAAGTTAAAAGGGTATAAATCACCAGGCAGTGGCCAAATTCTGGCAGAACTGATCCAAGCAGGAGGTGAAACATTACGTTCTGTGATCCATAAGCTCAATAATTCTATTTGAAATAAGGAAGAACTGCCAGATCAGTGGAAGGAGTCTATTATTGCACCAGTTCACAAGGGTGATAAAACTGACTGTAGTAATTATATGGGGACATCACTACTATCAACTTCATACAAAATTTTATCCAATATTCTTCTCTCAAGGTTAAGTCCATACAAGGATGAAATTATTGTGGATCATCAGTGTAGCTTTCAACGTTAACAGATCAACTACTGATCAGACCTTTTGCATTCATCACACACACTGAAGAAAAATGAGACAGTATCTCAGCTATTCATAGACTTCAAGAAAGTTAGGAGGGAAGTATTGTACAGTATTCTGACAGAGTTTGGGGTACCCATGAAACCAGTTAGGCTGATTAAAATGTGTTTAAAAGAAATGTATGGTAAAGTTCATTTGTCTGACAATTTTCCTTTGCAGAATGGTCTAAAACAAGGAGGTGCTTTATTGCCAATCCTTTTCCTTCTCAACTTTGCGTTTGAACATGCCATTAGGATGGTCCAGGAAAACCAGGTGGGAATGATACTAAATGGGACACATCAGCTCTTGGTCTATGCTGATGAAAAGAATCTATTGGGTGATAATATAAATACCACAAAGAAAAACACACAAACTTTAATTGTTGCTAGTAAGGATGTTGGTCTAGAAGAAAACATAGAGAAAGTAAGTATATGTTGCTATCTCATCACCAAAATTCAGGGCAAAATCATGACACAAAGATAGGAAACAGATGTTTTGAAAATGTAGTACAGTTCAGATAGTTGGGAATGAAGATAATAAATGAAAACCTGACTGCGGAGGAAACTAAGAGGTTGAACTCGGGTAATGCTTGCTACCATTCAGTCCAGAACCTTTTATCTTCTCATCTGCTCTCTAGAAACATAAAATTATAATACACAAAACTACAATTCTGCCTGTTGCTCTGTATGGGTGTGAAACTTGATCTCTGACATTAAGGGAGAAACACAGACTGAGGGTGTTTGAGAACATGGTGTTCAGGAGAATATTTGGACTGAAGAGAGATGAAGTAACAGGAAGTTGGAGAAAACTGCATAATGAGGAGCCTCATAACTTGTACTCTTCTCAAAGTACAATTAGAATGATCAAGTCGAGGAGGTTGAGAGGGTCAGGGCATGTGGCACAAATAGGGGAGAAGAGGAATGCATATAGGATATTGGTGGGAGAGCCAGAAGGAAAGAGACCATTAGGCTGACCAAGGCGTAGGTGGGTACAGTATTAAGAAATGGAGAGATAAGATGGGGGTGGTGGTATGAATTGGATTGATCTGGCTCAGGATAGGGTACAGTGTAGGGCTCCTGTGAACATGGTAATGAACCTCAGGTTCCTTAAAGTACTGGGAAGTTCTGGAGTAGCTGCAGAATTGGCAGCTTCTCATGAAGGGCTCAGCTCAATGAGTGAGTGAATGAGTGAGAGTGAATTCCTTGCACATAACTGTTCACAGTTTTACACAGTATTTTTAAATTTGTGTGACTGTTCTAAATAAAGAATATGGATAAAGCAAACATTTCATTACTTTAGTTCATTCAATAGTGTTTGTTCATATACAGATATGTATAAGCTTCCTTATATAAAATGCAGCTGCTACTTGGCAAAACGTTTGCTTCACCATTAAATGACACTCAAATGTCTAGAGCATAAGAACATTCAAGTTGTAGGGGGAAAATAGCTACAGGTGCAATCCTGAAGACATTCACTGCTGATTCAAAGGATCTACATAGAACTACAGACATTATTTTGTATAAATTTGAACTCAGATTTTAGATGATCTGGGGAGGGAGGAAGGAAATGGATTACATCAGCTAGACCCAGCTCTCACAAATGGTATGCAGCCGGATAGCTTACCACCTTCTGAGTATGACACCATTGTACTTTGCGTAATTTGTTGTATCAAACCTTATGGACGAAGCCAGTTGGGAGGATAATATTAAAATACATAGATATTAGAGGAACAGTTTGTGAACATATGAACTGGATCATAACTGGGCAGAGTGGCTGTGCTTCACTCATGAAATTACAGAAACGGCAATGAATAAATATGGAAGGATGGGAGATCCTGAAATATTCCTGAAGGAAAGCCCACAAAATTCTGGCATCACAGATCACAATACAAACCACCTCGAAGTTTCACAATGACCAAAGAGGCAAGGCCCACCATTTTATTTCCTTCTTCAGTGATCTGGCAGCCACAGCTGTGGAACAGTGAGTTTCTAAAGGTTCACAAGTGCCATACTGGTCATGTTAGGAGGTACATGTCCAGACAGGTACCTATCAAACTGTTCAAGAGATGGTTAACTGGTCACCTCGGGGGTTCTGTGGGACTTCAGTTATTCTAATGTTATCACAATATGTTCTCATTTGACAAGTTTTTGCCTGAATAATTTTGGAGCAGCAAAAGATCATGGACTGAAGTGTGGCTACAGCCTGCCACTAAATGAAGAGCATCAAGCTATGTTCTGAAGAGTACCTGTTCTACACTTGGTACAAGGACTTACCTAAGCATACCTTAGCATGGGCAGAATTTCATGCTTCTTCCCCTGCATCAGGTCCACATAAGGAATGGGAATGTCAGGACAGAAACCAGGCCATCAGGTTCTGCTGAGAAGCAAAGTAAGTATAATCATAAAAGCAGCCATGCCAAGTGTAAGGCACCTTTTGTCCACATGAAGAGAACTGACAAGAGTTTTGGTTTATTCTTAGTCACAAACACATCTTTACTTGCACAATAATTTATATGTATATATATACACACACATCCGTAATGCGGAGTGAGTTCTCACAATATCAGTGTTACCATCATAAATTAATTGAAAGCAGTCAACTCACATCCAACATAAATACATTCTTTCTACATGCACACTCCTACACACTCCAAACACAAATCTGTATAAGAAAATATATTCCATGGAAGAAAGTCAGAATTGCTCATTCATTTCTGTGCTGCGTAAGGGTTGGCAACTGAGCCATAAGAAAAACAATGTTTCAACATTTGAAGATAAAAAAATGAGAGAGCAAAAAAACTTGATGTGCATACTGACTTTCTTAATACTCTCTCTCCTGTGGCAAAAGTGCTGGAAACAAAGGAATTTACTTCTTTGATGAACTGAAGGTAGCAAGACTGTGAAGATATTAAAGAGAGGCATCACAGCCTGTAAAAGTTAGGGCAATTTCTGAATTGGAAATCAATGTGGATCATGTGGAAATGGTGGAAAAGAATTCCACCCTATATAAAATATTCAATTACAAAGTACAATGAAAGAGGGATGCTGGAAGACCACAAAGGAGATGGAATCATTAGTTTTATCCTTCAGTTTGACACTTGTATGTAGGTCGATTATGAAACGTCAAATTAAAACCTAAGCCAATTTTACTTACAATCATGTGAGACAGGAATGAGTAACAAACTGAGTGGGTGAAAGCCCACGGCACCCACTTCACTTCCAAAATGAGAAACATAAGGGACAGGATCCTAACTTATTGCATAGTTCAGTATTTACACCAGTCAGAGAATAATTAGAAATCTTACAAAAATACTTTTCACCTACGGAAATGGAAAGACATTCACAGTAGGCCATTAGTAAATTAAGTATAAGCACCTCCCGCTTTCCTAACAGTAACAATTGGTTTGCTACAGAGTACACTGAAAAGAACAATCAAGTCTCTGCCATGCAATGATGCTATATTGTCACAATGATTGAGAGAAATTACTTTCAACTAGGTACTTTATATGGGAAGACACTATATAACAATTTGAAATTAACTACAACACAGTGGAAGGTTACTCATTGTACTTCCCAAAATGTGCAATAAAAATTGAAAATAAAATTAATAAAATAACATATAAAAGATTTGTTGCTTAACATGGAGGGAATGACAATTGTAAATATGTACAGAATGTAACAGTACAGTATAAAAAGGAAAATACTGTTGAATTTATATATCAAGTCCATGCTAATAAGGCCTGAGGAAGTAACAGATGTCACACTACACTGTGAGCACAGTAACCAGGACACGCCACAATGGTGCATCATCAGAAGAATATCACCTCATCCTCAGATGCCTGGGGAGCGATGCCTGTGGGCGTGTGGGGATGTGAGTCAGGGCTGTGGATGCGTGACCTGTCTGGTACTTTGGGGTACGTATTGGTACGAGCAGCGCCCTCAGTCCCACTGGGACCCACGTCAGAGTTCTGCATCATAGCAGGGCTGCTGCCAGTCCGCGTGTGACTTGAGCCAAGCCTCTGGTAGCCAGTGCCTGACCCACTGCTCCGACGTGAGTCAGATCCCTGACTCAGCTTAAGGGGAAGCATTTGCTGCATGCCTCCAGTCACAGAGGAGCTGAGTTTAGTCGCAAGCTTTAGAGGGAGCTGCTGCTTGACTTGCACATTTGGGGCCACTTTCTGCTGGTTGGTGGCACTAATGAGATTCAGAGGCAATGTAGATTTGCTGGAACCACTTTTCCACTTGGATTCTAACTTACGCCGAGGATCAACAGTGTTGGTGGGGGATGAGACTGTCGATTCACCTCCTGTACTTGGACTTGAATCATCTGTGCTCTGACTGATGTGGATTCCTTGACTGGAGAGGCTTTCCTCATGAGGCAGTGTCCCAGTCACCATGGGCAGATTGGGGCTGATGAGAATACCCTGGCTTGTCAGCATTTCCAGCTTGCGATACAGCTGTTCCCGCTGTTGAGTGACGTCATTTTGTTCTGCTCGCACCTGTTCCTGCAACATGTTACCATTACCACTTTACTGTGAAACTCACACATCTGCAAAACACACAGCATATCCTGGAGGTCCTGAAGGCTACTCACCTGCAGCCTCTGCAGCTCTGCTTTCTTTTCCTCTATGTACCTCTCCTCTGCATCCTTCTCTCGCTGCCATGCCTCCTTCTCATGCGTGAGCCTGTCCTGCAGATTGCGCAACTCCTCCAGCTGCTGGTTGTGCCTATACATGGGGCGGCGTTCACGCCCATCCTCCTGTATGAGCTGGGACTTGCATGCAGACAGCTGAGCCTGCAAGCTGGAACATAAAATGCAGAAAATCAGATTAGAAAGGTGAGATATGACTATATTACCTTCATGTCAATTTCGTGGTGGAAACTGTGTGAGCTGTTTCACAGCCAGGTCAGAAGAAAATGAGACTTGAGAAGATTCAAGATCATAAAGGCATGGTAAAAGTATCAACAAATATGGAAAAGAAGAATATTGCAATATTGCAGAAGAAAATTCTTTTATTAATTACTTCATGGAGTACTGTATGAGATTTGGAAACACACATGGCTCACTGATGACTGGAGGGAAGATACTGTCTCAATATACAAGACAAGACTGTAGAAGAATATATCGTACACTTAACAGGAGTGTTTCGAAGAAGCTGGTCTCTGGCCTGAGATCTAAATTCGCAATCACTTCGATACAAAGCAGAGATCTAAACACCTGACTATGTTGTTCAGTCATCCAGTGGATACAGAGATAATCTGAGAATTTTAAAATATCAAGAAATACTGAAGTCATACTAAAATATAAAACACAGAAGCTGCATATGGACAAGCACCATGGGAGATGTAAGCAGGCAACAAACTGCAGACATATTGTAACAAGTATGAAGGAATAAAATATGACATAAGAAAATCCGATGAAATTAAGAGTACGCAGCTGTTACACATGGATAACTGTAGAATTCCTTGGAGAACATTACTACTGATGATGCTGAATGTATGGCCACTAGTGAGAGACAAATAAGGGAAGATATACAAAAGAGAATAGGGTAAGACACAGGCATACAAGTATAAGGAGTGCTTATGGGAAGATGGAAGAGGCTTTGTCATAATATGAGCAATTATTATTGGAATGTCAAGGCATCATTATCATCAGTACCACTGTCAATGCCAGTACTGTTATTGTATCATTCTTGCTGCTGTTGTCAGTTATTTTGCCAGTGGCTATGTAGCTGGAGAGTGAAGAGAACAAGATGAACCTGTGTACTGACGTCATCTGCTGCGAGATGATGGACAGCAACTTGTAGACATAGTGCGACAGCTGGACTGCGGCCAGCTGCTGCTCCTGCCCAAGCATCAGCAATGCTGGCAACTCGCACGAGTTGTCACAGAGGTTTGAAGTCAGCACACCAGGAGGAATTGTGGCCATCATTGCACTGCGCCATGGCAAGTGGTCCTGTGAAACAATAACAAACGCTCAGCCTCAAAATATTTAGCCTTTACCATTATCTACTTCATCTCCATCTTTGCCCTAGCCTGCCAGTTCCTCCTCCTCTCCCTCTCTGCAAGAGTTGGAGCAATCACTTCAGTTCCACTCTAAATGCTGCACCTAGCTCTCTCTGTTTCCCAGTGTACTGAGTTTATCTGAAGTTCCCATCTTGTCCTGTGTAGTCTCTCACAGACCAAACAAATGTCACTTCACCTCATTATTTATGCTTTCAAATAACACTCTGAATAACCCTTTCAGGATTTTCTGGGGAAAGATACAAACACTAATGTGAGCAAAGTCCTTCAATGGTGGAAATATAACTGTGAAGCAATGGGACTGAGACCACTTTAAATCTATACTAAATCAAGAAAAACACTGACTGACAGTTCCAGAGTACTTAATCTCTGCAAATGACCTACCACACATCATTAAACAGTTCATCACCCAGGTGTTTTCTTATGTAAAATTGCAGTGAAATGACAAAAGTTTATTTACTGTGACAGTCTTAAGTTTTCTTATATTAGGAATTAACAGTGACTGCTCTGTGCATTAGATGATTGCTAAGCAATGGAAAGCAGTGGAAACAGACCACTTCTACATTACAAAAATGATTACGGTCACAAAAAGAGATGCAGGTACCTGGAGAAAAGGACTTTACATAAAATATAAAGAACTGTGATTTAATTATATCCAAAAATAACACTAAAACCAGAATGTCCTGTTTGAAAAAGACAAGATTTCAGAACAAGAAGCCGAAGACATATATATAATTCAACTCACCAGAGGTAGTTTGTGAGAACGAACATCTCCTTTACTCCCAAGATTTGACTCACAATCTGGGGTCGCTGAAGTAGAATCGTGTGATTGGTCATGATTCTCTTTTGGTTGGTGTTTCTTCACAACACCTGTAATTATAGATTGTACTAGCATTTGTACTTGCTGTTCTGTGGCGTGAAGCAAAAAACTGGATTGTCAGGCATAAAGATACATTTGTAGCACATTCGTACCCACAACCAGAAGCTTCCAATGTGGGGAAGGATTCAACACTTAAGCATAAGGTTAAAGTCACTGCCAGATGGCTTTCACAGTACACTTTACAGAATGTGTCTGTGTGGCCAGAGAGATATGAACAACATACCTTTCACTCCAGCTGCTGCTGGCAACTGATCTTTATTAGCACTGTCAAAACCCCCAAATGTCTCTGCACGTTTTGGAAGTGTTGGTGAAATGTAGGCTTCACTGTGATGTTCTCCAACAGAACTCACACTACGAGACAAGTTTGTTCCTGGTGCGTAGAGTGAGCTTGCCAAGTTGTTCACCTCCTGCAAATGCAAAGTGATCAGGCCATTACAGAGAATGCACAGGGAACCCACACAGAACACAAGACACAACATACATACATTTTATTTACATATTACACTTTGCAGAGTAAGCCTTGGATGAGTTAGCTGTAATAAGATACCCCATAAAACACTCAAATGTCAACCAAGAGGAAGATTTCACACACTGCAGAAAGAATGTGTTCTGCCATACACATGATACTGGAAGCGGTATGTGGATTATTTGCAATGCTGTCTGTAGTTACATTATGTAGTGCTGGGTGGCATGACAACAGGTGAATGGTGAATTTGAAGGGATTTGGAAGGAAGCAGCAATGGCCTAATTGTGGCACTATCCCTGCATTTGCCTGGAGAAACTGAGTGAAACCACAGAAGTCCCAGATCAGACTTGAACTGAGCACGTCCCAAACATAAGCCTGTGGTGTTACCACTATGCCCACCTATGAGTACTTGGTACTTGGGGGGACTTTACAGGAGAAAGGAAGCAACAGAAGAATCGACAAAACTGCATGCTGAGGACACTGTACTTACATATCCTGTTGCACTGATTATTCGTTTCATTGCTGCTGCAACCTTCTCCCAGTAACTTGAGCACATCTCCAGGTACATCATCATCTCCTGTAGCCTTTCCCTTCATTAACTTGATAGCTTTTTCCACCTCTCTTTGTAAAATATATGGTCCTTTCCCATCTGTATCTACTTCTTCTTCTGGTTCAACTTCTAAGGTTTCTGGCCGATTAGGTCGATCATATAGTTCTGTAATATACTTTTCACAAATTTTCAGCACTTGCCTCTGATTTACTATTCTATTCCCCTGGGAGTATTCGATGCCAACATTTTGAATCCCATGATTCTCTTTCCATCCTAGTTCTTTTGCCTTCATGTACATCAAATCATAACGTCCTGTTCTTTCAATTATTCCTCAGTCTCCTGTATTTCCTCCTGCCTTCTTCATTGTTTACATTCTTCCATTTCCTTCACTCCTCCGTTTTACTCATCATCTCCTGTGTAACCCATGGTTTTCTTGCTATCTTCTCAACTTTACCAACCAAATCACTGATAGTATCTAAATTATGGAAAGGGTAAACACGAAAGAAAAAAAAAATCTAATCCCTAGAGACATGCTTTGGAAACTGAAAATGCCAAAGGGTGGAAGAATGTATTTCAAAATTACCACAAGTGGTGAGGAAGAATGGGCTTCAACAAAGATATTAAAAGAACAGCAGCAACTGAGAAAAGATTTTTAAGCAGAAGGAGAGAATAAGAAACAATAAAAAATACAAAGAATTTGAAGATAAAAACACTGGATGAAAAATGAATAAATAATGGAATAAAATGGAGCAGGCATGGTTCGAGAACAAACAAACAGAGAGTCCTCAGAAGGTTCTGAACCGGAGAGAGAAACGGAATGGAAATGTCCAAGAGGAATGCTGAGATCATGATGGGAGCAACAGGCAGATGGAAGGAAGAGCATGCGAGGAAACTGAGGAGGTGCTCTGGGAAGACAAGGACAGATGTAGAGGCTTGTTGCTAAACCCACACAAAAGAACACAGAACTGAAGTTCAGTGTATTAGAAGAATGGACGATGTGCAATGGAACTGAACAGTTCACCTGGACTGCTGATAGCACTTCCTGCCACATGGTTGAGCTCTCCGTGTCCTCCACCACCAGACCACTGTAATTCGGACACTCAAGCATGTTCTCCACTCCTGCAGCAGCCAGCAGCTTCTGCTGCAATGCCATCTTCTCTTCCAGTATCAGAGCTTGCTCAACATCCTTCTGCCGCAGGACACCTGCAACAAGCCCAGCTTCTGTCTGCCATCACACTGCAATGCCCATCCTCTGTGCAAGAGGGATGTCAGCACTGGATACATATTGTGATTCTGTATTTACAGCTTCCTGATAATCAAAGTGCACAATAAGACAAGTCTGTGCTGTAGAACTTGAAAAAAAAAAAACCCTGAATTTAGATTATACATTTTAGTACCCAGTCATAACATTTTATAAAATTAATCAATCCACTGAATATGCCACACCATTTTCCTGCCTTCTGGAAACTTCTTTAAACGCTAGTTGCCTGTCCTTGCAGAAAGTATCTGCTGCTGCAGAGTTACAGATAATACCTTAATTTAAAAAAAAAAGTAAAGCTATCCCTTTAAAAGGCCATGACTGCCCATACGGTGACGAAATGTCAAGACTCCCATGTTCTCTAGACTGTTGGCTCACAAACAGAGGTGAGGTTGTCAACCTTACATGCCGGCCACCCTTTCTAACCCCAGGAATATTCCTGGTACTCATTTTTGTTAGAGGCTGAGTCAACTTAAGGGCCAAATGCCAAATGTTGTGTAATGTTTTTATTGCTCCTCCTATATGACTGTTTCCACATCTCAATTGTATGGATCTATGGAATGAAATAAAGAACTATGAACTATGAACTATAGTGTATGTATAAATAAAATGCATTCTTTGGTCACAGAAAGACAAAAACAGTATACAGTTGCCAACTGTTGATGACAAGCTGAAATACTAACCAATCTAAGTGTGAACTTCAAAATATGTTGGACATGTGAATATGAAGAATGTGGCAAGATTTAGCAGGCACTACTGCCCTATCATTGAAAGGGTCAGCATTACTGTGCTGGAAGCAATACCTGGCATCTGCTGTGAATGCAAGCTTCATGTGTAATCATCAAGAGATCTGAGGTTCTCATAACAGTGAATATTATATTGTGGTCTTCTGAAATGTGATGCTTTGTAGTTTGGCAGATAGTTACCAATGCTTCAGGGGCACCTGCTGCCTCCATCCTCAAAGCACAATTGATGAGATAACATACAGTTTGACAGATAGATCCCAACGTTTTGGAGAATTCTGCAGCCTCCATCTTCACGGTAGAACAAACCAATAGCAATTTCCACCAAACTATATCAAAAACTAGAATTACTGTGGTTGCTTAGCTGTGCACATGGAAGAAAGGTGGTGCACAGAAGCCAATAACTTGACCTGATCACATTTCATGCCTCAATAAACTACAGTCCTCTTTCATCCATATTCCATGTAAACAGGTAAAGCTATCTGTGCTTACAGACTAAACACAATGGTGATTCAAGAAGTTTGGCAACTTTTAATTCCCAATGAATAAAGAGCTGCAGCTCCACAGCCAGGTTCCTGTCACTTTCTGTACTCTGCAGAGCCACTTCTGAACAATCACTTGATATCCTTAAACTGTAACATGCCACAACACAAGGAACAGACAACTTCCAGCCATGCAACACCTGAGACTCTCACAGTGGTGAATATTAATGAAGCATGTAACGACATGTACTCTGCAAGATGGTTACCAATGTTTACACTGAAGATGGAGGCAGCATGGTCCTCCAAAATGGTGACAACCCTCTGCAGGGCTACATAGCATCATATCCAGAAATCTTAAACTTCTAAGCAATTCAGTTTGTAGCATACAAATTCAAGAGGTTCCCAAACATGCAAACAGAGAATTATGTGGTTTTCTTCAGTCCCAACATAGCACCCTGAACACAGGCCACAACTGCGCCCTCCTACACCATCTTCCCTTATCACTAATGCTATTATAATGCATGCAGTTGACAGGCCAACCCTTCAAAGCAGGGATGTAACCATACATACTACTTGTTTTGACATCAAGAAACTGCATTTTGCCCACACACTGAATACATGCATTTTATGTGATTTTCACAATAAACAGTGATTATTTCCCTAAATAATATTAACTGGTTGGTCTTTGTTATACATATTTCCTGGAGGGAGAACTGAATGTATAAATCTTGCTCCGTTCCTTGTGCGTGGATATAAGTATGAATGGGCATTCAACACAGCAATGAATGTGAAAGTGATCTTTCATTTCTCCGTTCTTAGTACAAGCCAGATACAATGAACATTCAGCACGGTGCTTTACCTTTAAATCCCAAACTGCTGCCTTTGGAAATTGAGAAAGAACAATAGGAAAGAGAATTATGCAGTGACACACAGAGACTGTAGCAAAGCGCACATCAACCGATATCCCTTCCTCAAAGGGAACCCCTGATAAGTAGTGACTACAGTTACACCTTTGTGATGCTGAGTAGCCTGGAGGTCTAATAACAATCTACCAGACTACATGGCATCACATCTCACAAGATCATAATCTTACTTATTATTCACTGTTTTGAGAAACTCAGATCTTAACAATGGCCCTCATTATGACACTGTGTGTTCAATGGTTCTTGGCATGTAACATTCAGAAGACAGACACTATGATGCTGATACACATTTATACAACTGTTCATTTGATATGAAATTGTATGACCAAGTGAATGTGCTTCTCTTGTATAGACATCAAGTGCTCTTGAAACACAAATACTGACACTTTTGTTAAAACAGTATCAATCACGCAATCAGCAAATACTGTGGTGGGATGAACTTCACAATTTCGGTTATAGATTGGGCATGTGTGAGTTTCAAAATCCTTCAGATGAAGATGGGAGAAGAAATATCTTGATTCAAATGCTGATTCTTCAGACTTGAACTTGAAGAATCTTTTGAGAACAACTTTTGCTATGTACGGTACCATGCAAATTATCCGATCCATCAGAATCATAATGACAAAATTCACTTTTTTAAAAATACGATGATTTATGACAAATTTACACTGAAATAAGATCTGATAATAAAATGGATAAGCCGTATACTTCACTGCACTGTGAAAAAGTGGCTAGTGCCACAAATAAAAAATTTGTCTAGCAGAGAAATTTTCCCTTCTCATCCTGATTCTTTGAATTTCTCAAAATTCTTGTCTTGAATTAAATGTAATTCTTGCATGTGTCCATTACTGATGTCTGTGTTCTTAGGCTGGTGATATTTTGCGATGGTGCATCCAATTAACTGTACACAGAATGTTCACATAAACTCAAGACTTTCAGCACTGCGGCATATCACTGACAAAGCTCCATTCAATTTTATGTTTAACATTTTACATGGTGCTAAACAAATTTACCCATTTCCCTGCTACATTTCTTTCTCAACTACAGTGATACTTAAACCAAATCCTTGTACATAATGAATGACTACAATTAAGAGGCCCATGGATGCATTTATCTTTAGTGAATTCAAAACAAGCATAGGTAAACAGCACCTCCATTTTCCCAAGCCCTCACACTCTATTCCTTGAGATCCAGCTGAATTTTATCCTTCACTCTATACTTAGGTCTCCTTTTTAGACTTTTTAATGTAAATCTGCAAGCGTTTCTTACCACTTCCATGCATGGTCACGTGCTCCACCCACCTTATTCTCCTAAATTTCATCACTACAATAATATTTAATTAGAAGTTACAAAGATCCTGTTACTGTTCTCAAACACCATCCATATGTTCCACCCTCAGGAACAGAGACCAGGTTTCATACACCATAAGACTGTAGTTACACATGTCTTAATTTTAGGTTTTTAGACAGAGAACATTTCTGATGTGAATGCCAGCATTAGCTCCGTGCACATGTGTAACTAAATAGCAGCAGCAGCAGTAACTACATGTAGATCAGAACTTTCATGGGAACTGCATTATATAATGAAGTTTTCTCACGCTATCGACCATGTCAATATGGGCTGCCACAGACTGTCCCTGTCTCCAACATCACGGGTTGATGTGACGAGTGTTGCATCTATGTTGTATCTGATATGGTTGATTTATAATGCTGCACTTTAACAATTAAGTCACCTGTGTTTTTAACCTTAACTGGTCGATGCATTTGTAACTTATTTTGGCAAGTAACACTGCCCTGTTGTCTAGTGTATATGAATTGGGTTGAGTGATTTCAAGTTGTTCCCACTCTCATACACCAAGTGTGACTGCAATGGAACCTAGGAGCAGTATGAAGCTCTTTGGCATCTAATTTTGCCTTCACTCATCTTCTATCATGAGTGAAAGGATCTCTTACATGCCTTATATGTACAACACGGGACTCCTGGCTTTACTGCTCTTCTGAAACAAGCTGTGCTACAGATTTTCCTAGACCCTGGCTGGGTCTGAACCCACAAACTTAAGGCTCAATGGCGAGCATGTTACCACTAGACCATCAAGAGAGAATGTTGTATTTAGATACTGGATGTCCCACTGTGTATTGCTGCTGATGGAACAGTGGGTAGTAAGACAGTCAGTGATTACTATGCTGCCCACCAGTCTGTACTCCAAGAGGCCTCCAATGACCACGTGACTGTGCTCACAATTCCCTCAGCCGCGCAGACAAGAGCATACTCTGCACAAATATGACACTTTCCACATTAACCCCGATTATGATGGAGATGGAGACAGTGTCTGGAAATTGGACACTAACCCCATGACACCAACGCATTCCGCACCAGCAACTGCCTGCCCACAAGGACCTGACAAGAAACAAACATATTGTGGACAGCTCCACTGCACTCACCAACAATCTGGCGTATCTGTGACTGCTTTGCTTCCAGAACCTTCTGCCTCTCTTCAGAACTTAGCACCACAGCATCGTCATCATCTTCTTGACAAGTCTGCACTGCTGACCTGGAAACAAACACGTAAATCAGTTGACACACAAAATACTATGAAGGAGTGTGTACGAATCCCACCTCACATTTTAGAGGTCCTGGACTCAAATTTCAGCCCAGCAACTGGCTAACATGATGAAGGTCTTAATGATTTTCCTCAGCCCCTACACGCAAACATGTGGAAAGTACTACAAAGTAGACCACAACCACTTCCTGCAATATCCCTTCCAATTCATTGTTCACTACACATCCTACAACTTGACACTGCACAATCTGACCTAGCAAGAAGAGAGTTGTTATATGAGTCAAACTGCAGGACCATAACATGAGCTGTCAGTCTGCATCTCACCTGATTGCACGGATCCACATCTGTTTGTCTTTCGGTTTGTGAACTTTGAGTTCAAACATCTCAGGGTCAGCAGGATTGGAGGAAATGAGGTAAATACCACGTGATTCCTGCCCAGCCTTTTCTCGTACAAGGAGCTTCTGCAGTGACACCACACCAGCCTGTAAGATTTAAAGTAACATAACTGACAGATGTGCTAAGAAACCATAAGACTGGATGATAACATTAAGATGTACCTTATGACATCAGATGACTTTGTGTGCACTGGGGCAGTACCCATGTTTTACTACAGCACTACTAATCTGGAAGTGCAACTTGGCACCTCACACTGAGAGACCAGAATGTCATTCTAAATGAGACAGGCAGGGACAGGAATAAAAAAAATTAGACGATGAAGTTCCCAATGTGTTTTCTTAACATTAACAATCAATTAAATCATGAAGGCTGAAACAAGAAATACATATTAACTTTTGATTACAAAACCTCAATGGGAGGAGTTTTACAAGCATCTAGGCATAAATGGGATAACAATATTAAAACACATCTATCACAGAAGCCAGTGTAAGGATATGAAACTGAATGAAGAATTTCAGGATACAGTCCAACTGTGGCAAATGTGATCAGCTACACACTTGGAGCAGCTGTGTCCCATACGAATTATACTATCAAACCTGATGAACTTGCCAAGCACCAAGTTCCAAATCATGCATCACCTTATTGTCCGGTGTGAAGAATGAGTATTTGTGATTGTTCTCCAGCAGGAAGAAGAGGACATCAGAGAGCACAATTACCAAAACAAGCTGCATCTTCCCACGACCCTGCATCAGCATTGCCACACCTTCAAACCTGAAAAAAGACATAACCAAACCATGTGCTGTATGGAGTGCCATACACTCAAGTTCCTACACAAAGTCTCAAACAAAGAAGCCATTTTTCTCTATGAAATAATCAATTGCCTGGTATATAGAAGACAAAAAACCACGTTTCAGAGACTGGATCTGTCTCCGTCCTCAGGTGGATGGGGCAGGTTTTTTGCCTTCTATATACCAGATGAAGGATAGAGTCCAAAATAAGCCTAACAGTTCCAATAAAAATAAACTCTGTTACACAATAGACCCCATATTCATGTAGAAAAATCAAGAAGAGGATAAATTAGATAACAGGCCTTACACGAAATTAAGAGCAGAAAAGCCAAATGATCAGACTGCATAAAAGGTGAATAGCTTCAATGTGGAGGAACCTGCTTTTACAACAAACTACTGTGGCCATTTAGCCTGTGCCAGAAATACACTAGATACCTTGTAGTGTAGTATGTTCTGAACATTACACACACATACAATGTCTGAGTGACATTCAGGCTCCAGCCAGGTATGCTGCAGCATATCAACATGTGCAGTGTACATGGTTAGAGCATGAATCTGAGGTTCTCTCACACATGATGCACAAACAGTGTGCATGCATCTTTTCATCCAGTTTTAACACACAAATAAGTTGTAAAGAAAATCTGCATACACTCTGTATACTTACAATCAGTGTGTTCGCAGAAAAGCAAACAGGTTGCAAAATATATTTCACTATTTCAAGAACACTGAGGAAACAGACTACAACAAAAACAGTGTTGAAGTTTTACAAAGTTATGGCTGTCCTGATATCACTGTGACAGTGAATCTTGGACCGTGATGATTACAGACTGGATGAGAATACAGAAAGCCAGGAGGGAGAGGGATTTTCTGATCTGTGAAGGGCTGCAATAAACAGAAGAAGAATTTAAAATATAAACACAGAACTGGGCATTTTCTGAATGAATGGAAAAGAAAAAAAAACAAAGGAGTGGAAGTAACATCTCAGGATAAGCGGCCTCCGTAGTCTAGGGGTAATGTTCCCACCTCATGACTCAAGGCACGCGGGTTCAAACCCAGCAGAGGCCGTGGAATTTTTAAGGACGGAAAAATTCAGGGAACAAGTCCTCCGGGAGGGACTTTAAG